CCGCTACCTGAAGTAGTCTCAGTCTGCTACTTCTCTGCCATCTTGACTCCTCCTGAGAGGTTATTTTTAAAATAAGTTTTTTATATCAACCAAATGCATTTTATATGGCTGAGATGTTCATGTCAGGCCTCTAAGACATCCTTGAACATTTATCAAAAAATCATGATAGTACTCCACTCAACAATGAAAATGCTGAGGACATGAAATGGGGAAACAGAGAAAGCTCCAGAAATCTCTCATGTAGTGCGGAAAGCATGCAGGCACAGGGCAAGTACAGGCAAGCGTCCAGTCCCCACTGAAAGACTGCAGCCATTAAAAAAAAAGGGGGGGGAGGTTAATGATATGCCAGATAAGAAGCAGTTCTCTCCACAGCATCACAGGACATTCCTTTCTAGAAATAGAGAGCCTGTCCCATGCTATCTGGTGTGCTTCTGAGCCAGTCTTTGCAGCAAAGAGGATAATTTCATTTAACTTTTTAATTAACATGTGTCCTTGCTGACAGACACTGTGAATGAGACACTTTTTCCTTCCCATTATGGCTTAGACTTTAGATTTAATTACTGTGGAAATGAATCAAGAGACATGACTTCAGGCATAGCGTTCTAAATGTCGGCAGAGTAACAACATTAATTTTCTATTCTAAAGTATCCTTGTCATCCCATCTTTATGATGGGTGATGTGAAAATAATTTTAGGAAGGAGGTGACCGACCCGGAGACCTTACAAGACATTGGGAAGATCACCTGTTAGTTGTGGTTAGGAGACATTTTTTTTGGATAATGGCTGAGTTTTATTTTGTGTATAGTCATAATTACTAATATACAGAGAAATTGTTCTTCAAGCATTATACATGAAAGGACCAGGGCCCTTTAAAACTTGGATCTAAATGAGTTAATAAGCTATTATCAAAATCCAGCCACGTTCTCTTTTATTGCCTAAAATGAGTAGGGGGAATACTTAACATTATTTTATCTTTCATGCCATGAGCTATGAGCCATGGAAATGCAGGGAAGTCACTAAATATTTAGTCTGCCAGTAAAATATGTATTTGGAAAACAAAAGACCCCAAACTTTAAAATGTCTTTAAAAGAAAGAAAGTTGAAGACATGCGGGCTACCTTCTCATACAATCCAGGGCTCGAATAAAGAAGTCCTTGTGCAGCTGGTGCTCATCTCTCAAGATGGAGCACTGTTCAAGGGTCACCGACATGGACGTCCTGTCCTTGGCACTTTTGCAACAGGTGAAACGAATACCATTTAGTTTGCGACAAATCTGCAACACAGATGTACAAACAGTTTATTGCTCATCCGCAGATGACTCTAAAGTGTCAGACTCACCTAAACACTTCTTATCTAAACACTCCAAATTTATGTTAATTTATGATCATCAATGGGTTCAATCGGCCCTAGCGAGTGAAAAACATTATCGTTTCATTTCAAAAGCTAGTGGAACAGATTGAATTTATTTAGTTCTTTGTACGTGAGGTGTGAGGCGTGGGGTTGTGGCAGCCCTATGAGATGGTAAATATCCCGCAGAGGCAGCAGGGCTCCCTGAGGGGGTCGGGGTCGGGGGCCGGTGAGCCAGCCCTAGCCATAGTGGATGACAGTAAAGTCACAGCTTAGGAGTGACACCTTAACTGTGAAGGAAAAATACAATTGTATTTTCTGGATCAGACACTGGTTTGAATCCAAAATAGCTAACATCTTCCTACTTTGCCTTTAAGAATCCTTTGGGAGTTTGGGCTTGAGGTTATGAGTTTCAAACATTTACATAACACTAGTGTAGCAGTTCGTGAACCACTAGCCACTCATCAATGCAATGAGTAAGAATAAGGACAGCAAAGGGTCACTGTGAAACGCACATCTGCTGTACCAGGTATAATGCTAATAAATTTCATATAGATTCGCTCTTTTATTCATTTTTTTAAAGATTGTATTGATTGATTGATTGAGAGAGAGCACACGTGCACATGCGAGAAGGGGAGGGGCAGACGGAGAGGCAGAAAGAGAGTCCCAAGCAGATTCTGAGCTGAGAGCAGAGCCGGACACGAGGCTCCATCCCACAACCCCGAGATCATGACCTGAGCCGAAATCAAGAGTTGGATGCTCAACCAGCTGAGGCCCCCAGGTGCCCCTAGATTTGCTCTTTTAATAACTGCACATGGATCCTGGAGGAAGATGTAATCTTTCTTATTTTACAGATGAGGAAACTGAGGTTTAGCTCGGTTAAGTAACTTGTGCTCAATTGGACAGAATATGGGTGCTAATGTGGGTTTGGCCTAATGCCAAGGACCAAGTCTTTAGCTTCCTTTCTATTCTGTTTCTTTTTGCAAATTCTTTCTTTTTGTTATCCCAATGTAATTCAAGAGAAAAGTCTCTGAGCCATAATAATCCGTTGTCTCATTGCCTTATGGTTAGCAGAAGAATAATACCATTCCTTTCTCCCTCTCACTTCCCTGTCCCATCTCAGGGCTCTGATATGAGAGACCAACACTACATTAGTATCAATAATCTTAATCAACATGCACTTAAAATAAATCTAACATGATATGATAAAGTCTTAATTTATTACCTCCCATCAAGGAGCCCTTAACAGTTAATCTGCTTTGATGAAAAGATATACTAACACAGTTTATCAAGGGTTTTTATCATGTTTTAATTGTGATTCTGATACTTACACTAGGATTTACAAGTCTTTATTAGACCTTTAGTACTTTCTCACTATTTCCAACATAAGTGATTAGAGAAATACGATAGCATGGTTTCACCATAAAATCTTTTTTCATCTGGAAGACTCTAACCTTTTCAAATAAAGACTATTTTGAAATTTTAATATAAAACAAAAAAGTTTTGGCTATATTCATAATAATGAAATATTGACTTCAATGACCACTTATGAGATAATGATTTTTTTAAACAATTTTTTTTAAAGATTTTATTTATTTATTTGACAGACAGAGATCACAAGCAGGCAGAGAGGCAGGCAGAGAGAGAGGAGGAAGCAGGCTCCCTGCTGAGCAGAGAGCCCAACAAGGGCTAGATCCCAGGACCCTGAGACCATGACCTAAGCCAAAGGCAGAGGCCTTAACCCACTGAGCCACCCAGACGCCCCAAGATAATGATTTTTTTAAAAAGATTTTATTTATTTATTTGACAGAGAGACAGCGAGAGAGCACAAGTAGGGGGAGCAGCAAGCAGAGGGAGAGGGAGAAGCAGGCTCCCCGCGGAGCAGGGAGCCCAAAGTAAGGCTGGATCCCAGGACCCTATGGTAAGACCTGAGCCGAGGCAGACACTTAGCTGAACCACCCAGGTACCCCAAGATAATGATTTTTAAGAAGAATGAATATTCTTTAAAATGTGTTGTCTCTACTATATGCAACTATCCTACTAAGAATGTTTAATATTCTAAATTTAACATCAAGAGGATGTTGATGTTAAATCATCAACATGATTTAATCAGAGTGGGCAGGTTGGGTCTTGGTTTCCCTATTTCTATAGTTCCTTTGAGCCATATGAACCTAACATGCTTGACTGGCATGTGATCTCTTTAAATTCTCATTTTTTTTTTATTTTTTAAAACTCAATCAAGGCAAAAGCAAATAGTTTCATATTTTTTCAATAGAATGTAAAATATTAATACAGTAATATATAAATAATATTTTTTAAAAGAGAGAATGAAATAGAGATAAATAAAAGCTTTTTAGAAAATGTCAACAGGAATTTCTGTATTTCTTCACTTTAGAAGTCCAAGTCCTTGATTTACAAAGAGGATATTGAAACTGAAGTATCAGCTACAGAAATGCTGTAATAATAAAATCAGTGTTCCTACATAATGCTAAATTTGCACATTATGGGTGCCATGTATGTGTCAAGGCAGTCAATCATCCATTCCACAGTTAAGTTGTGAGAAAGCCGTATTTGGTCAGTGTTCAAGTTTCAAAAAAGATTTTTCAGGAATAAATGAGATTTATGGGAAAACTTTTAAAATATATTCAAATGGTAAAACTACATAGACTAAGAGAAAGTATACATTTGTGTTTGTACACGTACATCCTTCATTTATCCATTGACACGACTTCATGATATGTATAGCGGCATAGGTATATGTTCCTAAGTTGTCAGAAAGCCTTGGTAAATGATCAAATTACCTTCCCGTTATCCCATTATTAGTAAAATAGCAAAAATAGCTCATGACCTACCTTTGTGAAATTTTTGTGAGAATTAACAACCATAGCAGTCTTTGAAGATATAAAGAGCAGCCACACTGGGGGAAAAAAACTATTAAAAACAACCCTCCTGTAATGCAGTATGGGGCTAAATGGGACCAGGGTAAATGAGCTGCCTGAAAGCAATGTTTCATATTGTTACTTTGATGTTCTTCCCTGGGGCTCCAAGAGGGCACGAAGGGAAGCTAAAGCAGCTTTCTTCTGCCTTGCTCTTGGTGAATTATTTTATATAGACTCACGATAAATTATCCATTCCTTTTTCCCCGAAGAGAGTAAGTAATATTGGATTATAATTGAACACTGGTAATAGGGCAAGGCTTTGTTTTAAACACTATTGATACAGAGTGAATAGAGTTTTGTCAGGAGATCAGTGACTGAACTCCAAATTACACAAGCAACACTGTACAGGAACTACAAATATGGCATTCATTATGGCCATCATCATAAAGATCTCCAATGTGGGCCTTCTCCGATGAAAAAAATCCTCTCATTAGGAAAGGATCTTTGGGTCTGAATGCTTAACAAAATTTGTAAGTTCACGTGCGCTATGCCTGGATGGTTGCCAGGTAAGAGTTTCAGAATAAACAGGTAGTATTTTTCTCCCTCACTCTGCTAGAAACCTGGGGTGGGAAATAAGGCAGAACTTCTGCCCTGAAGGTGTCATTAAATGAGAAAGAACCAGAGAAAATGTAGCTCATTACCCCAAGAGCAATCCATCAGTAACAAATTCTATGCTAATATCTCAATTAACAAACGCATTTACAAGCTCATTAATTGAACAAGATGTCCGGGAGCCTTACTGAGGCTGTGAGTCAGAGATCTGATAACCACATTCTGTTGCCACCATATGTCTCTAGAGCAGCACTTCAAAATCCTGATTGAAATGGGCGACTGACATCACAACATGTAATATCAAAAGAAAATCACAGACACTCCATTTTAGCCACAAAGTGTCAAAAGACATCCAGAATATAGAGGAAAAACCAATAGGTAATTCTTTCTCGTTGAGTGCACCTTCTTCCATCTTGTGTTCTAACATATTGATAGAACTACTGACAGCATTGAAAATACCCAAACCCCTGGATAATGGAGAATGACATCTGGTAACCCCAAGTGCAGAGGTTGTATGCTACACAGTGACACTCCATGATGTTGGCTGATCATCATGGTGACAGGGGAAAGACCTGGCTGGAGAATGCTTACCGTTGCAGCCAGCCACATGATTTCTACATTCTTTCTTTTTTTGGCTTGGATATTTTGATGGAGATTTTCTAGTAATCCTTTTAAATCATTTTGTTCTTGAAAATGTGAAATGTCTGGGGGGAAAAAAAGAGAAAGAAAGGGAGATCGTGTTAGTATTAAGCTGCCTATGGAGATTTGCTCAATATATGTACAAATAGAATTTCCATAACAACAAATAGCATTTGGAACACAGAGTATCTGAGGATAATCATATTTATTAATCTGAAGATAATCATAGTTATTAATCTCTCCAGCTTTATTTTTTACTTAGAAATATGCCTCAGTCGCCTCCGCTACGTATTCTGTGCTATTGTGGTAAGGCCAGTTTTCATATACTATTATTTTACTAACAAGTGAAACATTTTTGATAATGGCTGCTGCCTCCCTTCAACCAAAGCATGACATAGATGAGACAAGAGATATAATTTTATATCTTACTATTACCACTTTCTGCTACTAAGTAGCTAGTCTGAATCAAGAGGATATGTTAAACTGAACACCTCAGGAGTGGGAGAAATCTGAAGGCTCAAATAAAATACATGGAGTCAGTTTCTCAGCAAGATTCCTTAACCTCAGCACTATGAACATTCTGGCTTGGATGACATTTTGTTGCGGGGAATGGACCTATATTCTGCTTTGTGACATGGTAAGCAGCATCAGTGACCCCTACAATTTAGAAACCAGTAGTACCCTTCCTGCGACAATCAAAAATGTCTCCAGACACTGCCAGATGTTCCTCGAGGGCAAAATCTATCCTGGCTGAGAAGAACTGCTATTAAGGAGCACAGATAAGGCATGGAAAGAGGGAAAATATGAGAGGTGATAGTTAACTACATGAGATAATTAGATAGGGAGCAGGAAATGACTGATTGCTCAGATCTCTACATACTCATAACTAAAGTATAGTTCACAAATGGCACACGTTTTGTATTAAAACCTAAGGCAATGCACATTATGACACAAATGTCCCTGACACTTGGCGAGATGGGGTCAAGATCAGAATATAGATATGGAAACAAAAAGTCTTTCTAAGAGAGTTGTTGGATTAATGCTGTACGGTACGAAAATGTGCTCTAATGTTGAATCCACAACCCAAAGGATGAAGAATTCCTGAGTGTTAATTGAGGCTGGAAACAGGAGAAAATCTGTAAGAGTAACATGGACTGTGTGTAGGCTCTCCAGTAACAGTGAAACAAAACTGATATATTCCTGAATCAGATCTCTCTCTCTCTCTCTCACAAACACACACATTGTGCACACACACAAACACACAAACACACACACACACACTCACACACAGCACAAATAAGCTGTAATCATAGCGTGACTCTGTACTTTTCAAAACTGTACCAGATGTTTCATTTTATTAAAATAATACATCTGAATAGTTCTTGACTTTAGCGCCAGAGAGTGAGGAAGTATCCTAATGAACTATACTAGCAATCTCTATCTGCCAAAGAATGAAAATGGTTGGTAAAATAAAAATATCCATTGAAAATAGTTATATATCATCTTGAATTTCATAACCACAGAATAGGGGAAGGTCGGGTACAATCGAGATGCATTCCTATAGTAGGGCGATGAGATTAAAAATATCTACATAAAATATATGCATGATTCCACTGTATTAGTTTCTAAATGGAAAAACAATCAGGAGTCGAACCCTTATAATGTAACTATAGATGACTCTCTTAAGAAAGACAAGGTTTGATTAAAAACATCACATTGCTTGATGGACTCTCTGATATACAGAACGTTTAATAGGACACAGTCCAGAGACAAAGGGAAGAAGGCATAAGGGAATGCCTTGAAGAGAGTTACAAAACCAGCTCAAGACTCTACAGCTGATCAAAGAAAGTAAGGACAATAATGCTACTTTTTAATTCATAGTCAGAATAAAAGGAACAGGAAGTCAGGTCTACCATCACTATTTTTAATGAATTAAAATTTAAGCAGCCATTTAAAATTATGTACGGGTATACCATTAACAGGGAAAGTGTCCTTGACATTGTTGAAAGGAAAAATGTCAATATCAATGAAATGAATTTATTGTATCAATGAATACAAATCAATGAATGAATTTATTTGTATAACATTATGTGTGTGTGCGTGTGTGTGCTTACATCTCTCTATAGGCATGTAGGCAAAGAGAGAAATTGGTCATTATTAGGCTGTAGGATTTAGAATGATTTTTCAACTGCCTTTTCATGTCATTTGAGACAATTTAAAGTAAATGTGTGCTGTTTTAAAGAATAAAGTTATTTTGAGAAAAAGGGAAAGCACAGTATATGCATAAGAAAAGGAAAGAACTTGAATTCTTAGGATACAAAGAGCTGACCTCAAAGTCTTCGCAGTTCAGTAGGGGAAGACAGATTTTTAAACCATCATTAACTATAGTAAAGTGTACTGTGGGCGATGGCATTAAATAAGTAAAAATAATAATAGAGACCCAAGGGAAGGAGTGTGCCATCTCATAAAGAATAGTTGGGTAGGGAAGGGTTTCTAGCAAAGATAACGCTTCGTGGCTACAGAAAGCATTTGAGGCCCAGGGAAAAATATCAGCACATGCATGGAGACATGAAGCAGTACTGTCAAAGCAGGGAGCTCATGGTTCACTATGTCCTTGCAAGGCCTGGTCCCAGAGGCAGGAATTATGAAGGGTCTTCTCTGCTATGCTGGGAAATCTGGGCTTCATCCTAAAAAAATAGGAGCAACTAGGAATTTTAAATAGAGATATAACTCTATCTTAGAGGTCTCTGAGGTTCTTTCTTTCTTTCTTAAGATTTCATTTGTTTATTTGACAGAGAGAACAAGAAAGAGAGAGATAACGAGGGGAAGGAGCACAGGCAGAGGGAACAGCAGGCTCTCTGCTGCCCCTGGAGCCTGTGATGGGGCTTGATCCCAGGATCCTGGGATCATGACCTATAGGCAGACACTTACCCAACTGAGCCACCTAGGGGCTGCTCTGAGGTCCTTTCTGAAGTCACCTGGTATAAGTGGCTTTTAAATGTTTTTGAAAGGAATATGGAATAAGAATTTCACCTGCAGGGACGCCTGGGTGGCTCAGTTGGTTGGATGACTGCCTTCGGCTCGGGTCATGATCCCGGAGTTCTGCATCGGGCTCCCAGCATCACGGGGAGTCTGCTTCTCCCTCTGACCTTCTCCTTGCTCATGCTCTCTCTCACTGCCTCTCTCTCAAATAAATAAATAAAATCTTTAATATATATATGTATATATATATATATATACATATATATATAAAGAATTTTACCTGCAGCATTATGTGCACACGCACGGACACACATGCCCTTCTGTAATAAGAACTTTATGAAATAATATTTATCCTAATCGCAGACACTGTTCCCTGAATATATTCCATTCTATTCCATGTGATGGTGACCATCATTTTTATTATTATTGTCCTAACCCTCAAAATTGACGTAACAACCTGGAGTCACCATAAAAACTTGCAAATTACTGACTTAGGGCAACCCCATGTCTAAGATGTTTTGGTGACTTTCCCAGGGTTCACAGTCAGAGGAAGCAAAAAAAAAAAAATCCAGTCTCCAAATTCCTACGCCAGCAATTTCCCCCAAATCTGTGCTAGCACCTTCACAATTAGCTGGTGGTACTAAAAGGCAGTTCCAGTAATAACACAATGAACCGGCTTCTTCAGAATTCTGAAACTCCAGAATAAAAGTACAATGATTTCTTAAAATAATTTAGTTTCATTGTTGACATGAGGATTTTTTTAGATCAGTCATTTAAAACAGACTATAAGGATCTGAAAAAGAAGTCAAATAAATGGTCATCCTTTGCGTATTTCTACTCCATAAAGATAGCACTTTAGGATAGACAGACAGGCACCCCTTCTTCCCATGGCATGCTTTTTAGAAGGAAGATATTTTGATGTTCTTAAAATTTTCAGGCCACTATTTCTATTTCTGTAATGATAAAACTTGCTTTATTCAGAGCACATCTCTAGCAATTCAATTCTTTGGTTGCTGCCAGTTATTTTTCAATCTGACAAAAATCCCAGAGGTCACAGAAATTCAGGGCTGGTTCTAGAAGGAAGTATCATTACTAATGACTAGTTTTTGGATTAGTAAGTGAGATTTCAAGATATATTGATAGATTCTGATAAATCAACTGAAAATCCTGGTAAACGGGGAATATGGATTGGTTTTTAAACTTAGACTGAATCTCTTCAAATGTAAATTAGCCAATAAGTCTTGCTTTGTCTACTCACTCCTGCATTACTCTAGCACAGAATTCAGACAGGGTAATTGAATCTCCATACCTATCTCAGTAAGAGCATTCTTTTCAAATGGGGCTCAAGAAAGTAAGCAGATGAAATGTACAACAATGTTCATTGCACTATTGTTTATAATATTAAACAGCAGAAAAAAAAACCCCATCTAAATGTTCATAAAGAGAATGGATACACTGATATATAATCATAAAATATAATACTATATAGTGGAGAAAATCAATAAGCATGCTATATTATGCATGTATATATTGGCATGAGTATAGAGTAAAAACTATGTTGAGTAAAACAATAAAAATTATAGGACTCATGCAAAGTAACAGTAATAATATAAAGTTAAATAAGCAAAAATACCATATATTTTATGGGTAATACATGTGGGGTAAAAACATGTATGATAATGTAAAACACCAAATCAGGATATTGATTTTCTCAGAGAAGGGAAAGTAAGGGATTGGAACTGGAAGGGGTACAAAAGGGGTTTTCATTATATCTGCATTTTTTTCTTATAAAATTTCTGAGGCTGAGTGATGGGTTCCCTAGTGTTTATTATTTTATGATCTGTTCTTTTTTTGTTTGAAACTTTCATTATTTTTTTTTTAAAGGAAGCACAGAGCCAAGATTTCCGGAAAGTGATTTCCAATGCCAACTCTGTCCCTGCTCCGACATGTGGTCTTAGGTGAGTTGCTTAACCTTCTGTCCCTATTTTCTCATCTGAAAAATGAGGACAATAACCCTGCCATGCTTCATCGGCTTGAAGTGAAAAACAATTAATAAAAGTCTTGGCAGAAGTGCCGACATTGT